ACTAATTGATGTCTCTGAAGGAAAATGGATAATTTCTAATTAAAGCTGAAGTTGTATGAGGCTTTTTTCTAATGAGGAATTTTTACTTTTTTTTATCACCCAGTCAAAATTTTTACATTTCCCAAAAGCATTTTAATAATAGGAAGTCAGCATGCAAATTAATGCTTATTTCTTCCTTTTTTGAGTATTTTTTCTCTTATTTCAAAAACTGCAATATCTTTTTCCATTGGTATTTTTTACCTGATAATTTGTGAGAACAAGTCAGTTTTTTTCTGCCCCTACTCCATAACAGATAACGTACCCTTCCTTATAGGACACAACATTTAAACTTCAACTACCTTCATTAATGTCAATTTTGGAATGTAGAAAATTAATTATTTCAGGCCTCAAGAAATTATGCAAGAAAATTCCCTGCCTTTCTACTAGTTTCAGTCTCTATTTTTTAAAAAAAAGGAGGGCTGAGAACTTTTGCAAAAAGCCTAATGTGTTTGTGTGTTATATATACATAGAGTTCAGTTTCATACCTGAAGCAAACTTCAGCATATGTGTTACTAGCCCCTTCAATGGTTCTATAAATATATATATGCCACTGGGGTATTAACGAAACTGTTTCTTTTTTTAAGTTTAATGCATTGTTATTTAGGGTAATTACTATGCAGATTTTAATTATTATTTTAAATTTATTAATTATCTATATAATTCATTCATTCATCTATTGGTTTTGTATATTTTCTTCAGACTTAAATTTTGATAATTGAAATAAAGTTTACTTCATTTAGTTTATGGGATTTTATTTTGTCTTCTGAATAATGATGCTGTTGTAGGTAGAGTAGTAGAAACTTGTTTTCATATCTGCATTTGAAAATGAGTTTATATATATATATATGAAAAAGAGAGAGAGAGGAAAAATAGTGATAATCACCTTTCCAGAAGAAGCTCCTAAGCAAAAAATCAAAACTCATTTCTCACAAATTATCTGGAAAAAATACCAATGGAAAAAAATTGCAGTTTTTGAAAGAAGAGAAAAAAACATTTAAAAGAGGAAGAAATAAGCAATAATTTTCATGCTGACTCCCTATTATTAAATCCTTTTGGGAAATGTAAAAATTTGGACTGGGGGAAAAAAAAAAGGGAAAATTCCTATAATATATGTATTTATGTCTGTCTGAAGTAGTGTTGGATCAATTTTTCTTCATAACTGTATCAACAATTGTATTGGAGATGATAGTAAAGGCTGTAGTGCTGAGAATAACTACTTTATTTTTTAATTTTTTACATACAGAGTTGGAGAGTAATATTATAAGTTTTATATTTTAGATAGAAGTGTTGTTATTGATGACTTCTTTTTTTGGATATTGTATACTTGATTTCTAGCATTGAGGATGAAACTTCACTACCCACCTTATTTCATCCTCAATACTAAATTGATACCAGTGTTTATGATATATACACACACACACATATATATATATATATATATATATATATATACCTGTGACAATGTGTCTATGTATGCACAGATTTTTTTCCAGGATAAAAAATGTAACTATCCTTTTTGCACTCTTGGTCATTTTAAAAAATCTCCCATTGCTTCATTTCTTAGAATAAATTTTGAATAAGGAGCATTAGTAGAATAATGTAAATAGAAAAGACCCTTGCTTCTGTATCCCAGTCCTACACCAGGCACAAAGAACATAGAAGAACTGAGTGACAATTGGTTGAGGCTTTAAGCCTGAATCAGAGCTAAAAGTAAAAAACAAGCAGCAGAGTGCGTGGGTATATATATATATATATATATATATATATATATACACACACACACCCACACAAAAGGGGATCTTGAAAACCCTATCCACTTTCCAAAATCAGTATTTCAGTGATCAAACATTAAAGTATTGATTTTGGGAGGTGGACTGAGTCAAAAATGTTTTTTTTATATGTATAGCCAGTATAAGGAAAAAAAAAGTCCCTCAATACTTCATGAAATATCTACCCTGGGTGAATCTGATCAATTTTCTTCATTTGTTTCTGAAATTTTCAATGAAGAAATACTGTAAAAAGTAGAAAATGTATTTTAAGAAAAAATTCTTCGGTAAAATTCCATTTTCAAAGAAAATAAATATTTTTTTTTATTGGACATTAATAATACTATTATTATTATTATTAATAATAATAATAATAGAAAACAAATTAGAGTCACACACTAAATGGTTACAAATCTGTATTGCGGTTAAGTTTTTACTTACTTTCCTTATTTGCTGCTGTGTCATTTAATTTAATAATTGTGTATTTGGGCAGCAATCCCCTTTTTTTTAAACCACAGTACTTCATCAGTCATTTTTAAGGAAACTTGTATAAAAGAAGGATTACTGTCCACTTACACAATTATTAAATTGCATGATCCAGAATCCAACAAGTAAATAAAAAAACTTAACTGCAGTATCTTCTCAGTTGTTTTTTTAATGAAAATTGTGTTTGTTTGTGTATATATATATATATATATATATATATATATATATATATATATATATATATACATACATATATTAACAAGGCAGGCTATTGGGTTCTGTTTGCAAAACTTCTGAACTGTATGTACACATATTTTTTAGTATAGACAGAATTTGACTGAAACTGAGGTTTTAAAAGTTCACAAGTACTATTATTGTAATATGAAGCAAACAGCTTTTGCTAAAAATGTGCTGATATTTTATGATTATATGTATTGATTTTACCATTGAGTCAGTCTTTGTGTACAGGCCTGACTCACTTTTTGACTGCTTGTATCATTTTTTATAGTCACCAAGTGGATCTTCTTAAAAATATTCTCAGAATTCTTGTGTGTTCTCAGTAATACAGAAAATGTATGTTTTATTATTGCTAAAGTGATTCCAAATTTTTTTTAAGTTTTTGATGATGATGATGATGATGAAAAAAAAAGGAAAAGAAATTGTTGACAGTAGACTTTTAAAATAAAATTTATTTCTTTTCAGTGTCTGTTTTTTTAAAACTGAAAAATTTTACAGTATTTTAAGATTTCCACCCCCTTTTTTTGCCTCTGGTTAATTCATTATTCATTTTTTTTTTTAGAGATACAAGTCAAGAGGAGATGAGGACTTAAAAGAAATTAAAAATAATATTTTTGCTTTATATCTAAAATATACTTTAAAACTTCAGCTCGAAGGAAAAGCGTTAGAAGATTATAAAAGAAGAAAATAACAATAAGTAATAAATAGATATATGTACTCTCATTTTTATATGTGTTTATGTATATGCATTACAAACACATAAATGAGGGTGAATAAGTGCATGTGTTTTGGTAAACTCCAAATATGAACAAGCCAGAATCTGTGCATGTTTCAGTACAGAGCTTACTGGTGTTACTAATTCATTTTTCTCTTGATAAAAAGGCAAGAATCCACTGTCCCTTGCAATCATTTTCAACAAGATATATATTAACATTAATTCCCAGTTGACTTGGTGATGCCAGAAACTAAAATCTGGATTGATTGATTGTTTTTTTTTATAGCTTATCAACTATTTGCAGGTTATTTAAAGCCAGAAAATATTTTTAGACTGCAAGGATTTTCTGGTGACAAAAAATATTTTTTCAGATGTCCTACAAAATAACCCATAGCTGCAGGGAGAATAGGTCATTTCATACCTTTTCTAGGAGTATTTGTGCGTAAGTAAATATAATAAACCCAACAAGAATTGAAACTTGGCTCTCTGATTTCTAATTCCAAGTCATTATCTTTGATGCCCTGACAGATTGTGAAGCTCTAAGTTATATCATGCTTAGTTCAGGTCTAGATCCACCACAAAAAAAAACCCTCTTTCATAACTACCTTCTCTGCCTAAGCAGTAGAAATGTGTTTCCCCAAGAGTCAACCAATACAAGAGCAAAGAATAAAATAAAACACTAAAATAAGGACACATGACACAGTGGATAAAAGAAATAGTTAGATCCAGTGTTGTGAATTCAGTACCTGGTTAAGGCAGTGGAGAACTTGGAGAGGTGAATTAACAGACATCCATTAGACATGGCACATGGAACTAGAACAGTCTACCTCAATAAGTGATATAAAGGGTTCAGTTCGACATTCCAACTACCTGAAGAAGCCCAGTGTGTACAATGGCTGAAATGTTGTGATAAATATGGCAACAAAGATGAGGACAATAGTCCAAATAATGTAAATAGAATAAAATAAAAGGTAATAAAACTTACTGAACTATTAGAGTAAAAGTTAATGTGCTCTTCCTTAAAATGTTTTTAATTCAACACATATGTACTTTATTGTTCCATCTCAAACCAAACTGACCAACCACTTTTCCTTTTCAGTGATTGTCTAAATATTTACTGTGGACATGATTTTTCTGTTCATACATATTAGTTCCAAAGAAATATTTATCTCATGAGATATGCAATGAAATCTTTTCCTACAGAAAATGTCTTGGAAAATATAAGATATGTCCGAAAAATATCCACCTATTTAATATAAACAAAAACAAAACAAAAGGAAAATAACATAGAACAATGGTAGCTTAATCTGCTTCAAATTATTCCCTTTGTGAAGTTTATGTTCCTGAACAATCTGCAAAGTCTTCTTTTGGGATCACCATCAGCTCTTTCGTCATACTCTCCTTATTTCTTGTCTCTAGTGTTTTAATAGCAAAATGAGCTTTGGGAAAAGCCAGAATTTCCATAAAGCAAAGTCTGGACAACAAGTGGGTCTGACAGGCCAGGTCAAATTCTGCCAAACAACCCTGCACATGATGTAAAGAATCTTCTTTCTCAGACCTTGTGAATGTGATGGTTACAGTGTACTCAAGCTCACTCAATGACATCTCACTGCCAACTGAGTCATCCCAGGGTAATGTGTTCATACCTGTGCAGTCTGACTGGATGTTAAGTTACACCAAGGCTGCACAACTAATTCTCAAGACATTAAAGTACACTGCAGACAGAGAGTCAAAAAGTATTAACACAAATTACTTACTGGCTAAAATATTTTTCACCCGTGTTTTGTTCAAATTGTTCTTCATTTTTGCTGTCTCCAAGAATTCTTCAGGTGTGTGTGGATATTCCAGTTCTTGCAATTCCTAAAATGAGATCAAAAGAAAAGTTTAAAGAAAACTATAAATGCTTCAAAAATAACTAAATACTCATATAATTTAATCCAGCTAATACCCCCAACTCAGTATTTACAAGCATGATCTAAAGAATAATACAGTTTGAAAAGAAAAGACTTTATTTTTAATGTTCAAAATTGTTATAAAATCAGTATTTGACAAAATAAACCCTGTCTGTCATGTATACATTTGCAATGATTTTTTTTTTTAAAAATCAAATCAGCCCAAGTTGAGAATTCCAGGAAAATATAAGGGGTTACTGGAAGTGAAAAAGAAGGAAAAAACTTTAGAAGGAACCAGAAACACAATTCTAAAACAGAAAACATGGGATAATCTTCTACTCCTGTTCAAAAGACTGGGAAGGAGTATGAACCAGATGATTTGGAAATAAGTTATGGGACAACTGAGCTAATGTTCATGTCTTTTGTTTAAGGTAACAACCAAAGTTGCTGCCATTGAACAAAACTATACAACAAGTTTCAAATATATATATATATATATATATATATATATACTCATGGACATAGGAATTAGGATTTCATGGTTACTGTCAGTTTTACAATAAATAGTCTTAAGGTACATGGTCTGATGATCATGTATGAAATTGACAATCACCATGTGGTGTAGATCCTATGTCAAGTCTATCCATATTTACAATTAGCATACTTCCACATAAATATAGCAAATTTTAATCTCTCTCTCTCTCTTTATATATATATATATATATATATATATATATATATATATAATTAGAAGAAAAAGTCCATGTGTGCTTCTTATAGTATGCAAAATAGATAGGTTGGCAAATAAAACAAAGTCAAACAAAAGAGTACCAATATAATCAATATGAAAAACATTATTAATTATTAACCATATGACAGAAATTTGGGTCAGAATTTTAGGATCAGGTTAGAATGAGACTTTTCATTGCCCCCTCAGATGTAATGAGAAATGCATTATGAGGAGACATTCAAAAATTCTGGTTTCAAGATGAACAGTACTCTTGAAATAATATCAGCAAATGTGACTATAACTGAAATTATGGTTAACAAGCAAATTAGATAGAGTTATTCCTCATTTCAAGGTTATCTTCTAGAAAAGCTGAATTTCAAGCAAAAGTTAAATGAAACCTAAAATGAAAGATTCCATTTGAAAGGTGTAAGGCCTTTAGATACTGAATAGAATAATGTTTAGTTATGCTTTGTTTATTTTACTTTAATAAGAATGTGGATATTTAAAAAGAAAAAACAGAAAAATTTTAAGTACTACAGATTCAGGAGGATAGGAAATTGGCAGAATTAATATACATATTGATACATATATGGGAGAATAAGACATACAAATTTCTATGTAACAGAACAATGTTAGGCAAATAAATGACAAAATGGAAAAAAATTAAATGTAAAATTTCAGCATTCCAATATCTTCAACATTTCCTGCTGTTGCTTAATGATAACTAATGCTTGTATTTTTATATTTCCACCTCTCTCTCCAGCATGTATTTAATTCTATCAACATTCTGGAGGATGAAATGCTTTATATTTATACTATACAGGAAAATGATATATAAACTTTTTATGTGAAGAAAAATTTTTAGAAAAAAAATATGACAAAGTTTTCATTTGACACATTTCATCAATTTGGACTTTATCAGACTAAAGTGATGTTTACATTCATGTGACTACATATACACATATGAAGGAAAGGAGATGCTGAAAATTTTTAAAATTTAAAAAAAGATATATTTTGCATATATAGTTGTAATGAGAAAAGAGAGCAAGAAAAAAACTAAAGGAAGCTTTATTTTGCTTTATTGATACAAATGTAGTGATTATTTATAGTCCTCTACAAATGAAAGAGTTCTCCAAAGGGAGGTAATCATAAAACAATTGAGATTACTCCCAATTACATATTACAATGGTCTAGCCAATTTCATTTAGTTTCTTTTTGTTTATGTTCCCATCACTTTTATTATTAAATATCCCACATTGTAATAATAGAAAATCTGCCAAGAAAGGTGAAATGTTATAAGAAAATGTATACAAAGTGCTTTAACTGCTAGATCATCCACAGTAAATTTGCATCCAGGTTCTTACAACATTTCACATTTCTTGGTAGATCTTCCATTATCACAATGTGGGATATTAAATTAAAAAAATGATGGAAATATAAATATAAAAGGAAATTGGTGAGAATATATACTCAAAACATATATTTACAAAAAAAAAAGTAATTTAAATTTCTCAATGTTCCCCTTGCCTTCATGTACATGTGTCATCACATCAATGTAAACATCACTCTTATCAAATGAAGTCCTCAAGTATAAAACGTGTCATTCGAAAGTTTTTCCAATTTGTCATAGTTTTTTCCTAAAATTCTACTATACATCATTTTCATTTTATTCACAATGTAGTTAAAGAACTGCTGTAATGTTGGAACAAGAAGGAAATAGTTAAAGGAATATTTCAAAAGTAACTCCTTATTTACGGTTCAGTATGTAAGGTATTCAAAAATGTACTGAAAAGGAATAGATCATTTCAGGTGTATAGAATTGTCACCTGAAGTGTGTGTTTTTGTTACTTGTTGCTATTTTACCAAGACTAGCTGAAAATACAGCTGATGGTTTGATTTTTCATTAATTCTTGTTCAAAGACTGAAAAGGACCATGTTGCTTAAGGGAGCATGGATTTAAACTTATCACTTAACGGATTTGGGATTTAAACTTTTTAAGGGATCATGTATATAAACTTGTTAAGATATCATGGATATAAAGTTGTTACTTAAAGGATTATGGATTTAAAATATGCATTTATGGATTCTTAACTTATTGTAAAATATCTTGCCTAATTTCATAAAAGATTGGGAAAAAGTAAACTGTTTCTATTGATTGATTCTACAGGTGGGAAGTGCAAGAAAGGAAACTGTTGAAGTATAAGTGGCAGTTACATTTAACTAATTCAACAGTAAAAGGGTGGGACCTTGATGCCAATCTAGTAGCACACTTTAACTCGTGTAGTCTGGGCACCATGGAAAAAGGTTGTCAGAGTAGTTGCTATGAAAATATTTATAGAAAAGACAGAAGTAAACTATGTTAAATTGGTGAGAAAGAGACTGAAATTGAGATGCCAGGTCAGGATCAATTACATTGCAGATCTTTCTTTGGATTTTGTCAAGAACCTTAAGATGAGTAGCAGGAGTACCAGACCAGATATGGCAATAGTATTCAATACATGGATGAATGGTAGATTTGTAAATATACAAGATTGACTCTGATGAGAAAAACCTTCTGACATGACACAGTTACCCAACATTTTTTGCAGTGAAGGTAGGGAAGGAGCAAGAAGAAAGGACTAAACAACAATCGCAAGACAGAATGCAAAATTGTTAGCAAACTGGTCAGCCCAATATGCAAATTACAAATTGTAGATACCAAAATCAAACAAGTGCAACAATTTAAATATCAGGGAAGTGTTTTTTTATGGAAAATGCAACACTGAAATGTGAAGGCACATAGGAATGGCTAAAGACACCTTCCAAAATATAAACAGAGTATTAAGTATTAAGAAACAGGATATTTCATTAGAAACAAAGAAAAGAGCACAGAACTCTTAAATAATATCGGTCCTCTTATATGATAGTGAATGCTGGACAATCTCCTCATAGATGAAGAAGAGACTTGAAGCAACAGAAATATGATTCTGCAGAAGGATGCTAAGAATACCATGCACTGAACATGTGAGCAATGACAAAGTTTCAGAGAAAATGAAAACAAAAAGGATTCTTATACTTAACATCAGAAAGAGATAGTTAAAATTTCTTGGGAGCATAAAGATGAAAGTGGGCTTGGAAAATTTGATACTCACAGGACATATTCACAAAACTTCAACATGAAGGCAAGAGAGACTGAAGAAAACAATTCATAACCTACCTAATGAGCTTGAGTAAATAGATGGCAGAACAAGATAGTAGAGATAATAAAAAGACAAAAGAGCTACAAAGGACAGAAAATTGTGGAGAGCCATGATCATCAACATCATGGAAAGATATAGCATAGAGAAGGTGCAAGAAGAAAAAGGTGCTATTTGTGAGGTTGAAATCCCTAGGACCAAGCTCACCATATTTTGTAGTCGTAACTTGCTTGAAGGAAAAATATGGTGGAGAAGGAACAGATATTATACTGGGATTCCAGGCCAAAACAACTAGACTAGCCTTAGGCAGAAGTGCTGGTGTGTGATATTTTGACCTGAGGCAAATTACAAATATGTTCCTGTATAAGGTAGAAATACTAATATGTACAGAAATAATCTAACCAGGAACTTCTTAGATGAGACAAATTTGCAAATATAAATCCAAACAAAATACTGTGTTGTTCCAATTTTATCATATGTTACTTGCCATAGAGTGCACAGATACTACACCCTGATCTGATATTGAACTACTTCTTCATCTAGCCAAAATTGACACAGCCAGTTTAATATTAGTGCATAGATATATATGAGCAAAGATAAAAACTACACAGTGACCATAACACTTTTAGTGCAAATCAATACAGAAATAATCCTATCATTTTTTATGGGTACTATGCTAGTCAAATATAACAAGAAGATGCTATACTAACAAGCTTAATTTTTATAAACCAATCAGAGGATACCAAAAGGAATTGTTACAGATGTCAAAATTTGACTGAAATTTTTATAAAGAGATTTCAGAGCATGTTTATCTTGATGGTCAGTTCAAATATTTGTATGTTAAGAATCAAGATAAGTGTTTTACTCATTTTCAGCTTGAATAATATTTGCCAATAAATGGGAAGAGATGTGAGACAAATAAAATCTTGATTTTTTTACAAATAACCTTGTTTATTATCATTAACATCAATAAGAGAAGAGAAGCAAATTGACAGAATAGATAGAAGAGAAATTTACATTGGAAAAGATTTGAAAATTTATTTGCAGTCTTCTTGAAAGAGA